AGTGGGTGTTGGGAGAGAAACCGGCCACTGTGTGAGGTCGAGACTGGGAGGAGGGGGAGTGAGGGAGGGAGGAGGGGGAGGGGGAGCAGGAGATAGTGTAGCTGGTGATGACTCCATTACGCTGGGTGACAGGTGGAGGAGACCAGGAGAACTCCACTTCTCTCTCTCCAGGCACTGCGTGTAACATCTCTGGAGATCCTGATGGAGCTGAGGGAGTTTTATACTGTCATCGTGAAAGTAATGGGGTTTACATAGTACGTACAATGCTGAGAAATGGAAGTCACGTGAATAAACTGTTTTGTGCACATAGAGCTACAAGTACACAAGAAAGAGAATGCCCAAAAAGGGCTCACTGCCACAATCCTCTCCTTCCAACAATGGTGTTTGTGTGTTCAGTGTGTGTGTATATATATTAGTTAAATACTAGACTCATTGGTAGTGATACAGAGGTTGGCAGGGAGAGAGGACCCTCTGTCAGATATGGTGGAGATGCTGCAGTTGTATGGAACTCCAGAGGAGAGTCCAAACAGTGTGGCTGAGGTGAGGGTTGGTGCCAACAGGGGAAGAGGCTGGGGGGGATCCCAGTCAGGAGAGGGACACATGTCAGGTTGTAGCCAGTGGTGAGGTGGGCCGCAGTGCTGGGCTGGCTCCAGGAGAATGTGAGAGAGGTCTCCGATACTGAAATCACCTCAAAGTTTTCCACTGGATATGCAACTGTAGAACAAACTCTAGATCTCTACCGTAGCTCATTCCTATAATATAGGCTTTGAAAGAGTTGGTGAAATAGGGCCACAAGTTATTCAACATTTTTCCTGAGATGGTGGACCTTCTTGCTATTCTCTATAATGAGCAGCTATATATACTTTAGGCACTTATTTAAACAAACCTTTCTCATACTGAATAGTAATATCAGGTCCTCGGGATCTAGAACTGGATAGTGTACTGGAGTCAGCTGATACACTGATAGAAAGTTTGCTCCTGCAATTAGTCCAGTGATGACGACGCTAGTATCTGTCTCAGCAGCTGTCACTGATCCGCTAAGTCCTCCATTTATTTGGTAGTAGTAGATGGTGTAGCCAGTAACATTGGGTCCTGCTGATGGTGTCCAGGTCACTAGTATACTGTTCAGCCCATTCTGAGATACTCTCACATTAGATGGAGGAGAAGGACCTAGTAGTATTGTTAAATTTTGCTATTCTATAGAGCTTACTCAGTGTTACCTTGCACAGGTAACTTTGCTGAAACATTTGAAACACTGTTAGCTATTAAACATGTGTAGAGTCCTGCTGTTCTGTCTGTCAGAGTGTGGGTGTACTGTGCAGTCACTGGGTCATTCAACACAGTCTCAGTTCCTTGGGTGACAGTGGTGAAGTCTCTGGTCCAAGTGACGGTGGTAGCAGGTCCACCAGTGGAGATACAGGTGAGGGTGAATGAGTTGTCATGATGGAGAGTGAAATTCATACCACCAGACAATGTTAGATGTCCTGAGTATAGAGAGCACCAGTATAATGTAGCTACATTCACAAACCAAACATTACCTCCTCCAGTGTTGTACAGTCCAACATAGATAGTCTGAAATGTGGATGCAGCATCCTGTACTGAACATCTGTAAATCCCCTCTGTTGCTTTACCAGTGGTCCTCTTCAGTCTCACTACCATAGAGCCTCTAGTTCTGGTAACTCCTTGAACATCCATTAGATTTATTCTAGTCCCATCTGGTCCATACCAGTCTCCTGAAGTAGGTGTACCAGGACGGTTAGTGATACAGAATAGAGCAGTGTTGTCACTGAAGCCAATATCATTGATATCCACATAGCCATTTTTAGGGATGACTGTTCCATTCAGAATGAGGAAGACATCTATACATACACAATTATAATTCTGAGTATTGAAACAGAGAGAGAATGCTCACTATCAGGAGTCTCAATATTCTGTTGTTGGCTGTAGACTCCAGTACCAGCACTGGTCCTTGCTGCCATTTCAACTGTGTAGACTGTCTGTTTAGTCAGTCCACTGAGTGTGATCATTCCTCCACTGGAGTCTCCAGAGGGAAACCAGAGTGTCTGGTTACCTCCTTTCTCCCCATACCTCACCCGATAGCCTGTTACCTCTCCATTCTGATTCCTGCAGTCCATTGGCCCCCATCTGACGCTGATACTAGAAGAACTGACCACTGACAACCTCACAGAAGAGGGAGGGGCAGATGGAACTGTGAGTGAGAAACATTCAGAATGAGAGAAGAGGCTCTGAAAGGTAGACTGACCAGCAGTTCTTGTTGTGGCTGTGACAGTATCTTGTTCAGTCCTTCCTCCAGTCAGAGTGACAATGAGCATGATAGAATATTCAGTTCCCTCCCCCAGGCCAGTGAGTGTATATGATGTACCACTAGTAGTTATATCACTTCTGGAGTCAGTGAAACAGCCAGTGTTAGTGTTGGAGTAGGAGATGGTGTAGCTAGTAGCTGTTGAAGTCCTCTCCAGTGTCCATGATACGGTCAGAGATGTATTGGTTGTGGAGAAAACTCGTGTACTAAGTCTGTCTGTTGAGAAGAAAAGATTTTAGCTATATACGACAGAGCACACAGGCATACAATGTATGTTTAGTTAGATATAAGTTGTTGCAGTTAACGTTAACTTGTGTACTAAGTCCATCTGTTGAGAAAGGTTTGTCCTAAGGCAGAGAAAACCTGTGCCTACACACTGGCATACAAAACAGGTATATAAAAGCCAGAAGTGTTTTGTGTAGGTAATGGACGTTGTCTACACAGCTTAGTGGACATGCCTTCACGTCTCAGCAGTTAGTTGACCCTTAGGAATGGCCTTTTTGCCTACACTGTCAAAACATCCTCCTCCCTCACTGATCATTGAGGCTCAGTCACTAATAATACTTTACTTTTGAGCCCTAAACTCACTCACCACTAGTCCTGACATATACACCACTGTATGGACCAGTACCAGCACCATTCACTGCTGCCACTTGGACAGTGTATGAGGTTGATGAAGACAATCCGGAGATTGTAGCCTGTCTAGCATCACCACCAACACTAGCAGTTCCTTCTACTATTCCATTTCGCACAGCCTGTGCTATGTAACCAGTTATCTCTCCATTACGGTCAAGACAAGGCACCTCTCCCCAACGGACAGTTATACTACTGACTGTGACTGTACCGTGTCTGACTGAGCTGAGACCTCGGGTAGGATCTGTGTATATAGAAAAACAATGAATAACAGAGATAAGTCACACAATATTGACTGAGCCTCTTACTTGTCTGCATAGTTTTTGCAGTTACAGCATTACTGACTGGAGCACTGCCAGCTGCATTGAAGACTCTCACAGTAATGGTGTACCTATTCCCTGGCTCTAGTCCAGTTATTCCGAATGAACCACTAAAACCTTGACTCACAGTAATACTTTGCTGATTCTGATCGGAACAACCAACTGAGGTGTCTCTCTGCCACTGGACCACAAAGCCCGTCACCACTGAGCCATCTGGAACACTACCAGTGATAGTGATAATAGTGGATGTGACTGTTGGGGATGTATGCAGAACTAGAGCAGATAAAACTGTGGAAAATGAATCATCAAATAATCTCAATGTGTTGCAAGCTGATACCTAATGTGATGCTAGCTGATGCAGATGACGGCTTGGCATTAGACACAGTACATGTGTATGCTCCAACATCAGTCACAGTCATAGTGTGGGTGTACTGTGCAGTCACTGGGTCATTCAACACAGTCTGGGTTCCTTGGGTGACAGTGGTGGAGTCTCTGGTCCAAGTGACAGTGGTAGCAGGTCCACCAGTGGAGATACAGGTGAGGGTCAGCTGGACTGGGTCAAATGTCACTCCACCAGATACTGAGATGCTCCCCCCTATTATTAAAAGAAAGCCTTGGCATCGTATTTTGGTCAGTACCACAATTTCCTGATGCGCTTAGCTAACAAATTTACCTTCACTAGTATACAGTCCCACATAGACTGTGGCTCTCACTGAGATGTCTGTATCATTATGGACAGCTCTAGTCGGAATATCACAATGATATATACCAGTTGGAGAAGTGGAACAATCATTGCAACGAAGGTCCACTCTCTTTCTTTTCCAAGACTCATAAAACATACCAGATCCACCACTATTCATCATAGGGTCACCATTAGGAAAATACCAATTTCCACGATGAGAATCATCTTGAGTGCAACATGTCTCCAGATCAGTGCGACACTGAGTACTGTTGCTATAACTGGTTCCAATCATTCCGAGGTCTACATAGCCATGGTTGGGTATAGCATCATCATTCCCAAACGAAAGACGAGGGAAAGTCTGACAGCAAACCTGCAGACTACAGAGGAGACTCAACGCAAGCACAAATCTCGAATCCATCGTAGAGTGAAAATGCATGAGCCAGCCGCGAATTATACCAACGAAGTTGTTTCCGCTTCCGGGGGCGCGCGGCGTGCGACTTTATTGCATACTGAGCTATAAGAAAACTATTGTGACAAGTGCAGTCAAAGTTCACGCCATGGCACGTGAATGTAGAGTCACATATCTCCAGGAATGACATCATAGACAGGAGTGTCTTTCTCCTCAGTGTCAGCATCAGTATGAGGGAGAGGGATGGTGGGGAGGGGCTGACTGGGGGGAGGGGCAGAGAACAAGGGAACCTCATACATCTCCTCCAGTTTAGCTGGAGGAGGAGGAGGGTCTCCATGAGAGATGTCTACCAGCTCATATCCCTCTTCTCTCTGTCCTCCCCCCACCTGCCCATAGGCCTCATTGGTCGAGATGTGAATATCACCACTTCCTGACCTGTACCTGCACAGATGAAATGTTAACGCACATAGTGATTCATATAATGCATAATAGTGTAATATAGCTAATCATCATAACATGATAGCATGTCACAATCATACTTTTTGTCAGAAATGTTCTTCGGTGAAACTTCTCCACGGCGATTCCTTAAGACGAGAATAATAATGGTTATGACAGCAATAGTAATGATGAGAACTATAACAACTGCCACAATTCCTCCGATTATACCATCGGAAACTTGTGCAGGCTCTTCATCAGGCATGTCAGTGGAAGAAGGAGGACACTGTGGCTGACTGAGAGAAGAGATGGCTACTGAGCAGTGGGAGTCCACGGTCATGAGTACTCCAGTCATGATGAGGCTGGCCTTGCCTCCTCTCACCCAGGCCTCTATCAGAGAGACGAGGGAGCCACTGTCCCTCTCAGAGGTTCCCTCCAGTCTGGCTCGATACATCAGGAACGACGGAGACTCTGGGTAGCAGTCAAAGAACTGGCTGTCTATCATTTCTGGCCCACACTCTGAACAAGATCACTTTAACTCCTTCACTACTGCAGCAGTAATGTGCTCCAGTTTCAGGGACCTCTCTGAACTCTGTAACAAAGAAAAGAAGAGTCTTGTATAAATTATCATAGGAAGGAACTTACAATTTCTTCTGAACAAGAAGTGGGAACTTTACCCAAACGAAGTTGAAAGAAAGAATCTGTGGAGAATGCATTAACATACTATTCTTAACATTATTCTGAAGCTAATATCAACTGAATTTACAGTCTGGTTGAGTGTTGAATGAAGTGTTGGCAGGAGGTCCAGAGCCCCGAGTGTTACTGGCCACCAGAGAACAGGAGTAGTGAGTGTTGGGAGAGAAACCGGCTACTGTGTGAGGTCCAGACTGGGAGGTGGGGGAGTGAGGGAGGGAGGAGGGGGAGGGGGAGCAGGAGAGGGTGTAGCTGGTGATGACTCCATTACGCTCGGTGACAGGAGGAGGAGACCAGGAGAACTCCACTTCTCTCTCTCCAGGCACTGTACCTAACATCTCTGGAGATCCTGATGGAGCTGAGGGAATATACATACATACATATAATTATCATGTCATCATGAAAGGTTTTCTACATGGGATGTACAAAGTACACGGACAATGCTGAGAAATGAAAGTCACGTGAAGTAAACTCTTTGTGTATTATAGTAAATGCTCAATGTGCATGTGTTTAGTTGGCGAGCGGGAGCGAGCCAACCTAGTCGTTCGTTCGAGCGGAATTTTCTGTATAATTATTATATATTATTTATTTATCGTACTTCGTACGTCGTGTAAGTGCGCATGCGCGGCTTTGTACGCGCTTCTTTTTATCCGAAACTATTTCCATATTTTTACACATTTCCGCACCCGGTGCCTTGCGATATGCGCCGATCGATCTAGGCAGCTAGAGAACTCTCCTGCATTCGACGGCATGCGCTGCAACCTTCGTTGACTGACCGAGGCTGTACCTCTTCCCAATCTTCATGGTTCGAAGGTGCAACTTCCTAATAAGCTAGGTGCAGATACTGCTGCATGCCTGCTGCCTGGTGGACCACGGCTGACGGCGTAAGGTAAGTATATACCGTTCTGCTCACCTGCTCACCGTTCTGCCAATGTACAATATGCATGTAACGGCGACAGGTAGATCTGTCATGCTTCACGAAAGGAAAGCTGTGCACTGACGGCACGTTATGCAGCCCGAACATCGCGGGAAAATCCCAAGTTGGGTCGCTCCCGCTCGCCAACAATGTTCAACATTTCCACTAGTATATACACTTTTATGTATACAGCTACACAAAAAGGGCTCACCCACCACAATACTCTCCTTCCCACAATGAGTATTCGGTGTGTGTGTATAGTAAATACCAGACTCATTGGTAGTGATGTAGAGGTTGGCAGGGAGAGAGGATCCTCTGTCAGATATGGTGGAGATGCTGCAGTTGTAGGGGACTCCAGAGAAGAGTCCAGACCGTGTGGCTGAGGTGAGGGTTGGTGCCAACAGGGGAAGAGGCTGGGGGACTGGGATGCCAGTCAGGAGAGGGACACATGTCAGGTTGTAGCCAGTGGTGAGGTGGGCCGCAGTGCTGGGCTGGCTCCAGGAGAATGTGAGAGAGGTTTCCGATACTGAAATTACCTCAAAGTTTTCCACTGGATACGCAACTGTAGAACAAACTCAAGATGTCTCTCTTTCCAATAATATAGGCTTTGAAAGAGTTGGTGAAACAGGGCCACACAATAATTATCCTGAGATAGTGGACCTTCTTGCAATTCTCTATAATGAGTATATAGCTACACTTAGGCACTTATTTAAACAAACCTTTCTCATACTGAATAGTAATATCAGGTCCTCGGGATCTAGAACTGGATAGTATACTGGAGTCGGCTGATACACTGATAGAAAAGTTTGCTCCTGATGCTAGTCCAGTGATGACGACGCTAGTATCTGTCTCTGCATCTGTCACTGATCCGCTAAGTCCTCCATCTATTTGATGGTAGTAGATGGTGTAGCCATTAACATTGGGTCCTTGTGATGGTGTCCAGGTCACAAGTAGACTGTTCAGTCCATTCTGAGATACTCTCACATTAGATGGAGGAGAGGGACCTAGTACTGTGGTTAGATTTGCTATTCTATGGAACTTGCTCAATCTCACCTTGCACAAGTAACTTTGTTGAAACATTTGAAACATCGTTAGTTATTAAACATGTGTAGAGTCCTGCTGTTCTGTCTGTCAGAGTGTGGGTGTACTGTGCAGTCACTCCACCATTCAACACAGTCTGGGTTCCTTGTGTGACAGTGGTGGAGTCTCTGGTCCAAGTGACAGTGGTAGCAGGTCCACCAGTGGAGATACAGGTGAGGATGAATGAGTTGTCATTATGGAGAATGAAAGTAATGTCACCAGACAAAACAAGATGCCCTGAGTATACAAACAAGATAGTGCCAGCATTCAAAAAAACACTCTTACCTCCTCCAGGGTTGTACAGTCCAACATAGACAGTCTGAAGTGTGTATGCAGCATCCTCTATTGAACACCAGTAAATCCCCTCTGGTGTAGTTATACCAATGGCCCTCTTCAGTCTCACTACCTTATGCCCACTGTTTCTGATAACTCTTGTTCTATTTGGTGCATACCAGCCTCCTGAAGTAGGAAAACCACGAAGGTTAGTATTACAGAGTAAGGCATTGTTGTCACTGAAGCCAATATCACTGATAGCCACATAGCCATGATCAGGAATGACAGCTCCATTCAGACTGAGGAAGACATCTACATACACAATTATCATTCAAAGTATTGAAACAGAGAGTGAATGCTCACTATCAGGAGTCTCAATATTCTGTTGTTGGCTGTAGACTCCAGTACCAGCACTGGTCCTTGCTGCCACTTCAACTGTGTAGACTGTCTGTTTAGTCAGTCCACTGAGTCTGATCATTCCTCCACTGGAGTCTCCAGAGGGAAACCAGAGTGTCTGGTTACCTCCTTTCTCCCCATACCTCACATAGTAGCTTGTTATCTCTCCATTCTGATGCATGCAGTCCATTGGCCCCCACCTGACGTAGATGCTAGTGGAACTGACCACTGACAACCTCACAGAAGAGGGAGGGGCAGATGGAACTGTGAGAGAGAAAGGTTCAGAATGAGAGAAGAGACTCTGAGTGATGGACTGACCAGCAGTTCTCGTGGTGCCTGTGACAGTATCTTGTTCAGTCCTTCCTCCAGTCAGAGTGGCAGTGATAGTGATAGAATACCGAGTTCCCTCCTCTAGACCAGTCAGTTGATATGATGTCTCACTACTAGTTATACCACTTCTGGAGTCAGTGAAACAGCCAGTGTTGTTAGTGTTGTAGTAGGAGATGGCGTAGCCAGTAGCTGTCAAAGTCCCCTCCAGTGTCCATGAGATGATCAGAGATGTATAGGATGAGATAACTTGTGTACGAAGTCCATCTGTTGAGAAAGGTTTATCCTAAGGCAGAGAAAACCTGTGCCTACACACTGGTATATGAAACAGGTACTATAAAGCCAGAAGTGTTTTGTGTAGGTAATGGTTGTCTACACAGCTTAATGGGCATGCCTTCATGTCTCAGCAGTTAGTTGACCCTTAGGAATGGCTTTTTGCCTACACTGTCAAAACATTCTTATCCCTCACTTATCATTGAGACTCACGTCACTATTTCCACACATAATACTTTACTTTTGAGCCCTAAACTCACCATTAGTCCTGACAGATACACCACTGTATGGTCCAGTTCCAGCACCATTCACTGCTGCCACTTGCACAGAGTACAGGGTTGATGGAGACAATCCAGAGAGTGTAGCTTCCCTAACATTGGCACCAAAAGCAGGGGGCATTTTCTCTACCATTCCATTTCTCAGAGCTTGTACTCTGAAGCCTGTTATTCTTCCATTACGGTCAAGACAAGGCACCTCTCCCCACTGGACAGTAATACTACTGGCTGTGACACTAGTATTTCTGACTGAGGTAGGACCACTGGAGGGAACTGTGTGGAGAAAGAAGTGAGGGACATGGAAAAGCTAATAGTGTCTCATACCTGTCTCCAAGGTGCTTAAAGCGACCTTATCACTGACAGGACCACTACCGACTGCGTTGTATGCTGTTGCAGTGATAAAATAACGATTGCCTGGCTCTAGGTCAGGTATTATTTCGGCAATGAAACCATTCCCATTGGTAGCATTGATACTACCTTCGTTCTCATCAGAGCAGCCAACTAACGTGTCTCTCTGCCAATGGACCATAAACCCAGTCACCACTGAGCCATCGGCTGGGACACCACCAGTGATGGCTATAGTAGTGTCGGTGACTGAAGACACTTGCAGGAATGGAGCTGAAAATGGAACTGCGAAAAACCTCATTATTTGCATACAAGCAGTATAAATTGTACTTACCCAAGGAAACATAAGCTATATGAACACTTTCACTCAAAATCGTTGATGTGGCTCTTATAGTAATGGTATAGGTCTCTCCATTAGTAAGTTCAGTTAGTCTGTAGCTATCTCCACCAGTAATATTCACACTGTCACTGTTGCTTCCTCCAGTGTAAGAGATAAGATAGCCAGTGATACCAACCAGTGGAGAGGGAGGAGTCCAGCTAACTCTGATGCTAGTAGGACCATCCTGGACTGCTGTCACATCTGATGGACCTGAAGAAATGTGTAGATTCAAACTCTGCTTGTGATTGAAAAAGGGGTATTATTTAATACCTAATGCAATCTTAGCTGATGCGGATGATGGCTTGTTATTAGACACAGTACAGATATACACTCCTAGAGTAGTCACAGTCAGAGTGTGGGTGTACTGTGCAGTCACTGGGTCATTCAACACAGTCTCATTTCCTTGGGTGACAGTGGTGGAGTCTCTGGTCCAAGTGACAGTGGTAGCAGGTCCACCAGTGGAGATACAGGTGAGGGTCAGCTGGTCTGGGTCAAATGTCACTCCTCCTGATATTGAGATGCTCCCTCCTATTTTGAGAAGAAAGCCTTAGCATCGTCTTTGGTCATTGTAAAAAGAGTACTAGTTCATGCATTTTTGGTATGATTTTTATGCATACTAAAGCAATTTGGTGTTTAAATCCAAACATTTTTTTAGATACGCTTAGCTAAGAAATTTACCTTCATTGGTATACAGTCCCACATAGACTGTGGCTCTCACTGAGATGTCTGTATCATCATGGACAGCATTGGTTGGAATATCACAACGATATATACCAGTTGGTGAGATGGCACTATTTCTACGACGAAGGTCATATCTCATATTTGCCCCATATTCATAAACATCGCCATCTCCACTACTGTTCTGCAGAAGATCACCGTCAGGGAAGTACCAATGTCCACGATGAATGCCAAAGTCACTTCTGCAACATGTCTCCAGATCAGTACGACACTGAACACTGTTCGTAAAACTGGTTCCAACCATTCCCAGGTCTACATAACCATGGTTGGGTATAGCCATATTATTCCCAAAGGAAAGACGAGGAAATGTCTGACAGTCAGTCTCCAGACCACAGAGAAGACACAGAGCTAACAAATATCTCGAATCCATAGCGCAACAATCCAGAATCGTTGACGAACTGCTCGTCTTCCCAGTCGTCGTAACGTCGTTCCGGCCTCGGTTCCGGCGGCCGGCTGGCTGCTTATCATGTGTGTCGGGGCTAATTTCACCGGTATGACACAGATGAAGAAGGCGGAACTGAGGAATGCACTAAAGGTCCGTGTCTTCCCTTCTCTCCCACCTTCTCAAACTTCCCCTCTCTTCCATCTTTATTGCAAATGTGTTTCTTTAACTTTTCTCCACTCCTGCTTTTTACTGATAGAAGTATGTTTCTATAGAGATTTATTTTCATCGTTCACATTTTCTCACTACTAGATGATGGTGTATGTGGTAGTACAGTTGGTTGAAGAGTTTGAAACTGATGCCACCAAACCAGATTCCCTCGACATTGTCACCAACAAGGTTCAGTTGTGAACTATTGTTAGGGTAGGGGTGCGAACTGATAGTGAAATAGAAGTAATATAGGAAGAGGTACAGCGAGATTGTATTATATTATTCCATCCTCCAACTATAGTCAAAGTATTGGGGATGGTTTGTTTGTCATTTTGTTTACTCACGTGCCTGCAAAAAAATGCAAAACCGTTAATACTCGAAAGCCTTTTTGAGGGGTTTCGGACCCGCTATATAGTTGAAAGAAAATTTTCATAGAGGCAAGGTGGTGTTGCTATTCCACCCTCCAACTTTAGTCAAAGTATAGGGGATGGTTGGTTTGTCATTTCCTTGACACATGTGCCTGCATGAAAAACTGTTAGAACCTTCTCCATGGGAGGACGCGAGACTGTCTTTTCTCGGCGTCGGGACTTCGCTTACCGCTGCACTGGAACTGCCCGATTGACCCATTTTTCGTTTACAAAATTTCTTTGTGGAAAGTGCACACTTTCCCATAATTGGAACACAAACTCGTGCGCATGCGTGTAAGTAGTGGGTGGGCCTCTCAAGCACACAATGGACGATTACTTGATACCTTGTGTGGTGAAGCCAGCCGTTTTCCTCACCGTTTCAGGTACAGAATCTGCTTCATTCATCTTTCTGTGATGCAGTATTACATCAGGACAGAGGGGCTGGGCTCGGCAGGGTCCAGGTTCAGTACCAGACTCTGGGAATGAGACCAGACCATCAGGTTGTCAGGTGGTGGATGTGGAATTCTGTTCCTCCATTCCAGAGGTCGTAGGGTGCATCTCGTTCCAAAACTACTACACTCATACCCTCATACTCAAGTACTGTAACGGCCTCTGAGCAGATTTCAATTTCGAAATCCGACCGCCCAACTCGAACCAGTTTGGTATCAGAGAGATCTCAAAATCTACTCTGTTGCTAATCCGGAACTGGAATGGAAATACCGGAACCAGACCTACTTTCATGTCACCTGATGGAATGGAACAGGTACTACGGAATGGACTGCAGACCAATGGCGACATGGAATCAGGGCAAGACATAAACAGACACCCTTAGGATGTAGCAACACTCTCTTACATGTGAAAATAATATTATGAAAGTGCTTTATGACATGAATAAAGTTGCGCTGGAGCTGTAGCCAGAGCAAGCTAGGTCTCCTTAGTCATGCGTCGCTACCTGCAAGAAGACCGAGTACCTGGTTTTTGTGATAAAGAACCGCTCCAGAAGCTCCGTTTTCCGTCTGCACGCACTCTGTCTTTCTAATTGAAGGCGTGGTTGCCGTGGCAGTTAGGCGCCGAACTACGCGATTTAGAAAGCCTCGGGCCCTCTAGTAGCGTCCTCGCTGGCGGTCGGACAGCTACAGCCCGAGGGCCCGCGGTTTTATAAATTGCGTAGTTTATACAGAGTGAGCGCTTCACGTTGAGCGCTCTGGCTTTCCTGTTCGTTCGTATGGCGGAGCGCTTCTAACGATGACTCGATGGAGGCAGGCTCAGAGCGGCAAAAAATGAGTGCAGTGCAAGAAGAGCGAAGCGGCAGCGCAGAGACATACGCGGTAGCGACTCCGCCTTCTTTTTCTGGTTGTGCGCGTGGCGCGCAGGGGGGTCTGCGCGTGCGCGTGGACGACGCGCGTCAATGTTTTTTTTTTTTGCACAACCAGAAAAAGAAGGCTACCGCGTGTCCTCGGCCGCTTCGCTCTTCTTGCACTGCATTTTCTGGCGCTCTGGGCCAGTCTCCATCCAGTCATCATTAGAAGCAAGCACTCCGCCATACGAACGCAGGAAAGCCAGAGCGCTCAACGTGAAGTGCTCACTCTAAAATAGTTAGACGCTCGGTAACCACGCGCCGGTAGAAAGCCTCGTGCCCCGAGGGTAGCCCCTCGATCGCTGCGCTCGGGGCGCCACAATGCCGGGGCTCTCGGCTTTCTACTGCGCGTAGTTACTTCGAATCAGCGTCTAAATATAGGTTAGATGCCGAGTCCAGGAAACTACGCGAATTAGAGAGCCGCGGGGGCCCTGAGCTGTCGGCGTTCGAGCGCAGCGAGGACGCTAATAAGGGGGCCCGCAAGGCGCTCTAATGCGCGTAGTTTCCATGACGAGGCGTCTAACCGGTTTAAAGCTATGGTAACGCGTTCATTCAAACCAAACGCGCGTTGAAGAAATGGCGACAGGCTTCGATATCTTCGGAGAGACTGTCCGCGACAGGTTGAATGAACCAGATTTAAATTACTTAGCTCAACGGGCCCGCGCCAACGTGCGTGCGCGTCGCGTAGCTAGCTACACCTTTGACCTCACGTGCACGTGAACTGCGGAAAATTGCGAAAACATATTTCAATTCACAATCAACTAGAGTACAATAAACTAATGGTGGCTGTTTTTTTCACTACGACTAAACTACGGTGAAGTGATTTTTGCGGGTTATTATCTTTGTGGTTACACAACTTCTTTGAAGTTGGCATAAGTCTCAAAACTGTCCATGTAGGTGGCGACCACGTCGTGGCAGAAGGCGTAGTGAGCCTGTAGAACACAAATAGCTATCATTCACACCTGTGACAGTACATATGAGCTAAATAATTACTACTAAAGTGAATAGGACCAATGCAATTTCCGTAACAGTTTTATTTTTAGTAACGGTTTCTAAATTTAACTGCCACACTCCCTTTAATAGTTAATAGAAGGAAGGACGTACGGCATCTGGGACGAGGCCCGCTCGTTGGATGCGAGAGGATTTTGCAACCTGGAAGAAATCGACCACTCCCTCAGTCTTGAGTCTCTCCAGTGGATACAGATGAACGTCCCCGTCCTTCCTACTCCATCACTGCAGTGAGGGAGAAATCGACGAATACTCCCATACTCCTTTGTGTTGTGTTGTGTTGTGTTGTGTTGTAGATTCGAACCCCTACCAGCTGAGTTGCCCTGGTAGCTCAGTTGGTAGAGCGCTCGCCTAGACTGCAGAGTGTTGGTTCGAATCCCACCTAGGGCAGTTCTTGAAAAGAAAGAGCTGTCTTGGGTGTAGTTGACTTGTTTGCCTTGCCTTGCCTTTCTACCTAGCTACCAAGTTGTTGAGACATGCTAGGTGCCATAACTGCTCTCTAGCTATGCACACCTCTGAATGAGTCTAGGAACGCCAATTATATTTCCTAAAATAATACAGTAGTGTTAGTGTATTAGCATGAGGCACAACCACAGTGTCTAGTTGAAGGGTCCCAACTAGTGGTGGAGCTAAAAAGCTAACGCTGCTGACCTGCACATGATGACAGTGTGTCTGCCGAGGCTGCCCCTCTGTGCCTTAGTGAGCAGGTCCACCAGAGACAGGATGGCCGTGGGGTGAGGCAGCTCTCCAGGAGGCCAGCTGCTCAGCTGCATGAGACTCAGAGTCTTCTGAACCCCTCCCCTCCCCTCCGTGTCCTCCACTTCCAGCTTCCTCTCATGATGTCACCGTGATGCTCACTCTCTTCACCCCCACCCTTAGCTTCCCGTACACCGCCTCTTCTTTTTCCCCTTCTGGCCAGAAACAATGACTGCTCACCTATCAGAGAAAAAAATAGACTGAACAAGATCAATAGCTAGCTACAGGTCAAAATTGGTTCCAAGGCCTATAGATGTAAATAACAGCAGCGATTCATTGCCACATGTCACCCAGTGGCTTGAGCACCTGACCAACTTGGCTCCTGGCTTTTTCTCTTTCATCAATGCCTACCGATTCGAAAAAATAAATGAACCTGACCTAAGGTGACATAAGGCAAAGCTCTTTCAACCCAGATAGTTTCCATGAGTATTCGTCCACTTTGAAAAAATCAAAATATGGAAAAAATCATGGGTTGTGCTCTCAGCAATGAGTAAAAGGATCGAGGGAACTCACTTGTCCCTTCTCCTGTGTCTGACAGAGCATGATGATGCAGCTGCAGTTGTGTTCCCAGATCATCCTCCATAGATCAGCCACTGTCCCTTCCATTGGTCCCTGGGTGGCTATGTAGGCCTTCCGTTGTTTATACCCCTGCAACAGGGAGACAAGCAAGTTAAGAGGGCGGTTGATTGATGGTTGAGATACAGAGACAAATGAGAAAAAACATCTGGCATCTGTCAGTAGTAGAGCTCACGCCTAATTATTGTCTGAAAACAATCCATGCTAATGGTGAGCTACAATATAAATCTATAATAGGGGACAGTATTAACTCATTGCTCGCGGCGGATCATTCGTTACGCGGATGTTAGCCAACGCGATCGGCATAATTATATATAGATGCGCAAGAAGACTCACTACTCTTTTCGTCCTAGTTGCCGTCGCTACTCGCTGGCACAGCCTAAACCTCGCTACACCTTTGACCTTTGAGTGGGCGCACAGTTTGCGCATGTACAAAATAAAAGGCGGGGCTGGCGTGCGCAGCAGCTGCCCCACCTTCCGCGCGTATAATACGCACCTAAGAGCGATAAATGCAGATCTGCCATGGAAACGTGGCCTCCCTGCGGCTCTAAAGATGACACTAGGCTTTCTAACACACGAAGAATGAATCTGGGCTTCGTTTGCGGGCCTACACCAAGTATAAACGCAAACAAAACGGCATGCGCGAACTCGAAAAAACCACGCGGAAGCGGTAATTCCACGCATGCGCATTAACGCGCGCAATGAGTTAATGAGAGGGAGATTAGAAAGTTTGAAGAGGGGCTAAATAAGCTGTTATTGTATAAGACATTTAACAAGGTGGTAGAGTTTAAAGTGGAATATTTCTCTGAGGACACCCCAGAAATAAGACCTTTTCTTTCCCCCAACCAAAACCTTCTCTTTGCCCTTCAATTATCTTATCTATGGAGGTTTGTGTGTGTGTGTGTGTGTGTGTGTGTGTGTGTGTGGTTTCATACGTACGTCAATGAAAGATGCATTGATATAGTCGGAGCCAGGTTTGGGACCAAACCTCAGCCTCACACGACCCAACTCATCTGAAAGTGAGAGAAAAAACAACTCTCTAATTTACAAACCATGAGATTGAGCATTGGGAAGGAATGCTCCAAAACGAAAAGTATATTTCTTTCTGAAAGGCCTTTAGAGGTGTAGGAGAACATAAACAGTAGGAAATTGTGAACCACAATAGAGACAACTTGTTCACCCTCAAAGTGGGACTGAATCGTAAACACGCTATTGGGGTGGCATACATAATCCCACGGAGGGCTACCGCCAACAGCACCAGCAGATGGACTTTTGCTTTTGGAAGATGTGGACAAACGTTTATCATAAGTTTACAGTAAGAGATGAGGGTCATAACACACATAGGATAATGTGTTGACAGTGAAAGCAAGTGTTTACACTTACTCGGTAGCTTGTCAGGGAACCTGTTTTTCCCTGCATTGTACTTGGCCTTTGCCTCCTGGTAAGAGGCCTCACACTGAGAGCTCACTTCCTCCAGGGTCTACACAATCAGTAACAAGAAGACAGAACTCACGTTTACTGGGTTACGACAACCTAAATGGTTCACACTCTCTCTAAAACACTACCTGAGTATAACATAATGAAATCTGCCTCGCTCCTTACAAAATATTCGTATGAATAGTGTGGTTGAGAATAGTCAGACTCAGTTAGAGTCGAGAAAGAGATAAAATGAAGCAAAGCGTAGTCACATGCAAGGCTGGTAGTGACACACCTGCATAGCTACATTACTGATGTGTCACTCTGAGGATACCTCAAACTGTTTTTGGAAGCCAACGAGACCACCAGGTACTGGTTTCTGTAGCTGCATCATCCTGATCCTGATATTACCAGCAGCCACGTCGGTTTCTCCACACACAACTAGTTCACTGAGGGAATCATGGATGAAGACGTACTGAGCCTGCAGTGAGAGGAGGGGGGAAGAGAGAGGGGAGAGAGAAGGGAGAGAGAGAACGTAGAATGGGTCATAATAAATAATAGAGAGTGAAGTGGAGGATAGTAAACTGAGAAAGAGACAGAAAGACAGGGACAAGGGAGAAAAACCAAAGGAAAGACTAGACCCACAAGAGAGTATCCTTGCCCTTCTTTTTTCACTTACATACACTTGTACATAGGAAGCACTCACACCTGGGTCTGAACCAGCTTCATTCTCTGAGTCCTTATATTCTTGAGGTGCTGGAAGACACTCAGTGTGCACTCCCTCTTCATCTGCTGCATGGACACGTCCAGGAGGATGAAAGTACCGGTCCTCCCTACCCCAGCACTGCAGTGGACCAGGAGGGGCGTGGTCAGGGAGACCGGGTGCTCCCTCCGGACGCGATGGATGAAGGAGATGAGGGACATGGCGTTGCGAGGGACTCCGTGATCAGGCCAGGCTGTGTAGAGCATGTGGGTGACAGTCCTCTCATGTTCTGGGTCAAACTTCTGCAGGAATAAAGCATAGGGCACAAGACAAGAATAGGGCCTAGTGTGTAGTGTGCGTCAATTAGATAATTAATCTGAGGTAACCCAGTGAGGAAAGCTGTCTATGCCAGTGCTTACATGCTTACATTTCTCATGCAGTAACATTAGGTACAATGGCTATTTCACAATGCTTGCCTATTTTTGGTGCACAAAAGTGAGATGTAAATATAGGGAGTTCATTGCGATATAGACTCACTGATTTGAGCTGTATTTTCCTGATCTGATACTCAGCAGAGGGCACCAATGAGGTAACAGTGATGTCGAACTTTCCACGTGTAACTGAAGTGTTGGTCTGATCTGGCCAATACTGCATACATTTCTCCTGAGAGGACCATAGTTAAATCACAGTATAACAAGTGGAAAAATCATTTCTTCAAAATGAAAGGGGGATATAGGGATGGCTTGAAGCACCAAAAAGGAAGAAACAAGGGGTCATTACACAGCAAAGTTGCACAAAGCTACATGACACCATCCCTATATCTTTGTTTGATATTGTTTGATATTAAACTTTGCTTATAAACAATAAAACGATCGCTTGATGTCCGTGCACACCTCCGGCGAAATTGGAGACCCTCAGTGAAGGTCTCCAATTTCGCCGGAGGTGTGCACAGACATCAAGCGATCGTTTCTTTCTTGCCGCTAGTCACTACGGTAGATCATGGAGCTCTTCCCTTGTCGACCTGAACAACGCCATTTGCTGCTTACTCAGCATCAGTGATCCGCGCGCATGCGCCAGGCAGGGGCGTTGTCCAATGTGCTTGCGAGCGTATTCTACCGGGCGAGTTGGCAGACCTGCAGAGGGACTGTCAGCCTCCAGTATCTTCTGTAAGTAAGTGTGCATATTTCCAACTGGCTATCTTGCTGTTGATATGCACGAAGAGCAACTTGCCAGAGTCTGCGCGGTGTTACGCGAGCCTTGCGGGGCACTCAGTCAAATGGGCCTTCATTGTTTGTCCCCCCCAGGTTGTAGCCTGATTACCAAAGCCTGCCAATGAAACCACAACCATGTGCAATAATCTAATTACATCCTTGTTGAAGACAATACATGGTATCTAGCAGCCCCATTAGCTACTACTTTCAATTTGTCTATGGTAGCCTATCTACAACATAGCCATGAACATCAGAGTGACTGTAACAATAAATGCAGTGTTGCCAGAAGCTGTTAAAAATAGTGGAAACAAGTGGGAAAATCATTTCTTCAAAATGAAAAGGGGATATAGGGATGGCTTGAAGCACCAAAAAGGAAGAAACAAGGGGTCATTACACAGCAAAGTTGCACAAAGCTACATGACACCATCCCTATATTTTTGTTTTATTGTTTATAAGCAAAGTTTAATATCAAACAATATCAAACAAAGATATAGGGATGGTGTCATGTAGCTTTGTGCAACTTTGCTGTGTAATGACCCCTTGTTTCTTCCTTTTTGGTGCTTCAAGCCATCCCTATATCCCCTTTTCATTTTGAAGAAATGATTTTCCCACTTGTATTATATAGACTCATAGGAAAAAGAGATGGTGTCATGTAGTTTTTGTGTCTTTGCTCTAACCACGTTTTCTTCTTTCTTTTTTCCAGTTTTTAGGCTATTTTCACTTGGAGAATTGTGCCAGTGAAAAGTTAGAGATAATTAACATTGCCTGCGTGTTATGGTCAGTGTGCTATATTAGGTGCTCTTGCTAGACTAGAAGGTTTTAGCCGTGAAATTCCTGCATAAAAATCTCTACCAATATACCATTCTGCACACACAAGTTATCAAGCTACTCACTCACCTAAAATGTTTTGCTATAATTCACATTAACCTACAGTTCTGTCTTGTTATTCCTTACAAAAGTACTAAAATCAGTTTTTTTCCATGAAGTTGTACATCACGCAAATCCCAAAAGAAACTTGTTTTGCCTCACGTAGCAGCAGTTCCTGAGAGACTGACATCTTTGGACTATGTTACTCAACAACCAAAGCAGCATAACAACATGAGGTAGAGTCAAACAGACAGTCAGGAAAATCTCCAAGGTGAACGAGCTCAAAAAATAATCCTGAATCCAGAGAGCCAGAGTGAGGCCTACAAGGGCCATCATGATGAAATGAAACGATAGGGAAGCATTCATTGCTTTTGTTTTACATGGTCTAAAGTATAAGACACAAAATGAGAGACAGAGAAAAACAGGTAGCAAGATGATGAAGTACGTTTCAGGTAAGTTGGTAAAGAAATTAGCCAGGAAGAAAAGTGTTGCAGCAATAAAACTGAAACTAAGTGGATAAATTCTCCTCCAGTCTCTGCCACCATCCAGTCCATCTCTGTATCCACTGGAAATAGTGTCCACAAATATTGCCAGAGCTAGTCTCTTTCTCGGCCCACAACAACGTGCCAAGAGGTTCTGAAAGTGTCGACTCGGGTGCAGGCAGAGTACCAGGGTTGGAATCAGAACAAAGATAAATATGGGAACATAAGCGGCAACGGCGTAAGGAGCATGTTGACTACTTAGTGCTTCTATTGAGGGTTCAAAGGTGAGAACTTTCTTCACCAATGTTCCGTTCATATTGTACACCTTCCTAGCAGACAGGAGCTGATCGGATATAGCAATAACCTTAGCGACAAAAAGGGCGGTGAAAGTTGCCAGTGCATGGATGGCGGAATCACTTAAGCTCCAGTCTCTCCGAAATCTGACAAGGGAGAATATCATGATCCTGCAGAATCTCACAGAAGAAAGTTTACTCTTTAAATCCAGTGAATCGATGAGAAAACCAAGAAATACAAGAACAAAAATATATAAAACTGACAGATATTGAATTAGGAGACCAAAAAAGTAATTAAAACCACAACCATAGCAAAGATGAGGCATGAACATGGCAAAAAAATTTATATTCCAAATGCCTGTAAGAGGGAGCAATACCATGGTGTTCCAAACACGTACATAACTTTCTGAACTGGCAAGTAAAAACCTCCAAATATTTGGATAAATATGAACTGCATTGATGTGACACTGACAAAATATTACATAACCAAGCAATGGACCGGACACGATATTGATTCTTAATTTCATTATGATTAGATAGAAAATAGTGAGAGGAAGTATTTCTGATGCTAGGAAGAGAAAAAGAGATGCAGGATTTTGAAGGCAGTTGTTGCAATCAATGCACTTCCCACTGAAAGTATGGAGAGTAGGTGCAAAACCTTTCTTGCATCCACCACAAAACACTCCCTCCCTGTTGTTGAGCTCACATTCATCAAAAGATAAATTATAGGGACTCTGGGGTAGTGCAGAGAAGACTCGATCAGTGACTGAGGTACTGCGGCTTCTCTTAAACTTACACAAACTTGTGAGCACAGTCTGTGAGTGACTATCCCACGAAACACAGACATCAAATCTTGCATACACCGAGCTATTCTCTGCCTCACTGCACTTTATGGTGCCCATGATATCATGGCCACATTGACACACACCCGAAGAGTAGTTGAACCACTTCCAAGTAGGACACTGGGCGACATCTTCACTGGCACAACTGACTCTCAGTCTCACACCTGCTAAGAGTAGAACCAGGCCTTGCAAAACAAGTTTCATGGCCGCTGTAGTCTGAAACCTGTAGCTAGTTAGACTGGGCTCGCCCCTTGTTTTTGTAGTGCAGCTTCAAAAACAATGAAAATTTTTTTTGTCCTTCGGTATGGAGGGTCAATAGTGGCAAAAAAAACACTTTTGTTTTCATGTCAGTTGTACTATTTTTCATAGTGATTTTGTATTTCACAAATCGTGTGTCACTGGTTTGGATGGTGAAATTCTATATCTGAATGTGTTATCATTTGGATGGTGAAATTCTATGCCTGAATGCACACTCGTTTGGATGGTGAAATTCTATGCCTGAATGCACACTCATTTGGATGGTGAAATTCTGAAATCCTGACAGAGCCTAGAGTCTGATAAAATGCAACACAAAGTAGAATAGCTTTCATCCTTAAAGACGCTTGTCATTCTGCCTGCAAATCTTGTTCACTCCACTTTTCGTCTCTGGACTTTGTTTTTCTACAACTAGAGGGGCATGCCAGCACACTTTATGAGTGCTGGAGCATGTCAGTACATACACTTTATCAGTGAAAAGTTGTCCTTACACAAACACTGAAAGTAAAAACAGGCTGCCATTCCGCCTCATATTACATTTCACACCCAATATAATAGGATTTGAGTTTTAATTTTATAAGTCACTCTACATATTGTGATATTGTGTATTATGATACATGACACCATCCCTATATCTTCGTCTCATATTAAACAAACAAAGATATAGGGATGGTGTCATGTAGCTTTGTGCATCTATGCTGTGTAATGACCCCTTGTTCCTTCCTTTTTGGTGCTTCAAGCCATCCCTATATCCCCCTTCATTTTGAAGAAATGAATTTTCCACACGTTTATTTTTAACGCTTATGACAACACTGTATTTCCAGTCACTCTGATGTTCATGGGTATGTTGTAGAACTGATGAAAGCAGTGGCTAATGGCTGCTCTATATACGGGGTGTATGCCTAGTGTCTCCAACAAGGACGCAATTAGGTTGTGGCACATGGAGGTGGTTTCATGGGCAGGTTTCAGTAATCAGACTACAATGATAGCTTTAACCTGGGGAACAAAGAATGAAGCTGGCGAAGCCCGCGTAACACGGCGCAGACTGCCAAGTTGCTCCTCGTGCAAACCAACAGCAAAACGCAAGCTAGCCTGCAGTTAGAAATGTGTATACTGACTTGCAGAAGGCACTGGAGGATGAGAGTAGTTTTCTCTGAAGGCATCCAGTCCTGGCTTAGTCTCGTTCGTGGACGAGACAAAATGCGCGCGCACCGCATTGGAAACGCCCTCCTCGGCGCATGCGGCTCACTGATGCTGAGTTAGCAGCAAATGGCGTTGTTCAGTGACTACCGAGGAAGAGCTCAACGATCTACCGTAGTGACTTGCGGCAAGAAAGAAACGATCGCTTGATGTCCGTGCACACCTTCGGCAAATTGGGAGACGTTCTGTGGAAGAAAAAACAACGCTTCAACTGCTTCCGGTAAGGAGATAGCGGGTCTGAAGAAGAAAAGAAGATGAATAATTATGACGATGATGATGACACGAAATCGCGTAAGAGCGAGTTCTCTCGTGGGGAACTGAGGGCACGTAGGAAGTCTTGGGGTATATGTATAGCTAGGTATTGGCCTCTACACTATTGCTAGTGATTTTGAAGCCATCGTGAGTCATTCTCCCCGAGTTTTGAGGCGTTTTGTACGCGGATCGCGCGAGATTTGACCCGCGCCATCCCTATATAGGGCGTCTACCGACGATCTAAAATTATGTGGACAACTGGCAGGGATCATGAGTGAACTGGTTTGTGGCTCAGTGTACTTCTTAGCCATCTAAATGTCTAAATCATTTCGGACTAGAATTTTAACTACTCGTGCCTTATAGCTACACGTAACTCCTTGGCTATAACCTGAAACATACTGAATAACTCCCCTGAGATATGACACTGCAATAAATTTATTAGTTTAACATGTACTCACGACAGCTGAGCATGCACGCCACCACTAAAATCGTGACTGAGATTAGCCTAAATTGGTATTGCCTCTAGGGAGTTTCTGTCTGCTTTACCTTTGCACATAAGAGTGGAGTTGTTTAATCAAATGACATAGTGGGAGTTTCCTAGACTTCCCAAGAAATGTCTCAGTGGATTAACACCCCTAGACCTCGGGCGTCATCACACAATTCAATGTCTGTGCCCTCATAGGGTCTACAGTAGCAAGGCTTATGGCACTTAAAGGCATGCACTGAGAATAAACCACAGAATCTCTGAGTTAGGGTTGCGTTGTAGGGAGTCTTAGTACGCATTATACCGGAACAAAATTTGAGAATGAGATCACTGAAAAACAGCTCCCCCAGTTGGGGACACACTACGGCTCACAGCGGTGTATAAAAGAGGGATGTGCAGCTATGTGTCGAAAACATTTACTGGCAGTCCCACTGCACTATTAGAGGCTTCCAGGGAATCTCTGATAGTTTAATACACTCTGCTGTAATTTCGAGTAGCTACTGGCACCTTTAACGCGTGGATAAGTTTTAGCTGTAGTGGCAGCATTATTTCATCTGAGACATAGAAAAACTGACGAATTTTCCTTAGAATGGATGGGGGAAAACAAGGAAAGTGGAGTATGAAGTGAAATATATGAGGGGGTTAAGAGGGCAAATGAAGAAAGACAAAGGAGCTTGCTGCTACAAACAGTATGTGTAGGTCTCCTTCCCCATTGCTCTACAGTTACTCAAAGAATGCTAATACGATGGTTCTCATCCCGCGGACAAGGAGAAGAAACCAGTTATACTCAAATACGGTTCATGCAAGCAGCCTGCCACCAAAGAGGGCCCTGTCATCAGGTGGCTGATAGAATAGAAATGGAGCTGGTGAAGATCAGACCCTCCCCCCCCCTGGTGACAAACAAAGCAGCTGATTTCTCTGGTTATGTCACCTCCGGACAACACGGGCACTGTCGACCACCTGAAGAGAAGAAGAGAAACGATCCTGCATAGCCCGCCTCGCGGACAGGTTCCTTCGCTCCTCCCAAAGTTAAGCCTACGACTAACATGGTGATAGTGCTTATGGTATGGCAAATCCCAAGCCCTCGCAGTTAGGGGAGATAGGGGGTATGGTAGTGCAAACCCAAGCAATCGTCAAAAACTAATGCATGGTGAGTGCGACTAAATCATTACGTTACTATCGGTTATAGGTGTTAGTATGGTGATGATGTTAGTGCCCACCCAAACAGTCTCTTTCGACCCCCATGGTGATGATGGTAATGTTAGTGCCACCCAAAGCCTCGAACCATGTTGATGATGGTTATGTTAGTGCCACCCAAAGCCGCGGACCCACTGGTGATGATGCGTTATGGTAGTGCCACCATAGCCGGTCGACCACTGGTGATGTGGTGATTGTTAGTGCACACCCCAAGCGTCGTAAAGCAATAGTGTGACAGTAGTTACAAGTTGCATTCAAGCCGTCTCCCTATGGGATGATGCTATGTTAGTGCCACCCCAAAGGCCGTCATCCAAATGGTGATAGTCACCGGAGTGATTCCCCAGGACATTAGTATGCGAGGACAGCGCTTTTCTAAACCAAAGAGCAGGATAGTGCTCATCCAGGGCCCCTCCGTTCCGTTCATGGTTCAGATCCAATGAACTGCCGTAAGTTTAATTGACAGCAACTGCACGATCGCGGAATCACACACCGAGCAGCGTACACAGAACTGGGTTCACGTTCATGAACAGATAGGAGAGGATTTCCCCAGTACATGAAATTCCTATTTGTCTCCACAAAGCAACAAGCCAATCTAGAAGTTTTGAGGGAGGTACTTCGCAAATGATGGGACTCCCAACCTCCAACCACAACGATTGTAATAAGGTAAGGGTTATAAAGTCACCCTATATGAGGCGGCCAAATGGACTTCCGTCTGGAGATCCCAGAGGGAGACATTTCCTGGAGGGAGAGAGGACTTTGATATGGGGGTGACTCTTTCTGCCCCTTCCAGTTCCAGAAGGTCTGAGACCTGGTCTACGATGTTCGTGGGTGGGTAGGGTTAATCCAAAACTTTCCAGTTCTCCAAAGCAGTGTATGTCCAGTCCACACTCACTTCATAACCCTTAATGAACGATGACGACTCACGGTCTCTGGGTCTACTTTCCTCAACAGCAGACCCACAAACAAGAACTCTGTGGGTCTGTACGAGTTCCATCAACACGCAGACGGGGACAAAGATCTGAACCTCATAAGAGATTTGGTGTTGTTATTCACACAAACTCACTTCTGCTCCTTGTATCGCTGCACTAGACAATCTGCAGAGTCGTTGAGAAGGACAGCATTCTGATACTGCGTGCACCAAACAACCGCCATCCCAGTTGGCAGGAAGGTTTTTACGCTAGTTATTCTGGACATTGAACCTAGGGGACATGTTCAGGAGAACTGGACGAGATAATAAAAGGAAGGAACTTTAGTCAGAATGAGTGAAGATGGGATGGTTTGCGTTCCTGCGGCTACTAAATCATCGGAAGAAAAAGAGCCAACAACTAGAGATTTACCATTACTCCTCAACCAGGCATGGAAGAAAGAATTGGTGAAAATGGATCCTCCTAAGACTTGTAAGTTCATGATTCAGTGGTGGCAATATGAGAGTGGACGTGAATGTTCAGGTCCATGTAAAGATATTGACTTCTTCATTCGAGACAGTCAGATAAGAAAAAAGCTTTAGCAGGATGATGTCAAAGATAAGAAAATGCCGGGGTTATAACCCCAAGGATTATGTGTTTGCTTCTACACAGCCCACATACTATTCTGATAGGTGGTAAGATCGAGAGTTCAAAGGTTTTGCCACGAAAAGCGCCTCTTCATATGACCATTTTTCTGGCTCCAGGTAAGAAAATACAGGAATTTTTGTGATTAATAATGAACCTTTCTTAGATGCAGAAGATCGTGTTTACAGAATAAGCAATCGGAACTTGCGTATGGTTATCCAAAACCGACAACTCAGTAAGACAATTATCA